CCCCATTCCTCCCCTACTCCCTTCTCTCTAACCCTCTCCCCTTCCAACAACCCTCCCACTCCCCCATGCACCCGAGGTTACCTGGGACTCTTGTCTATTTTCTATCTCCTGGCGGATAGCTAAATAATCTTCATCAGGTTCACCTTATTTAGCTTCTCTAGGATCATGAATAATAGGCTCAAAGACCTTTAATTATGGTTAGAATCCACTTATGAGTGAGTACATACCGTGTTCCTCTTTTTGGGTCTGGCTTACCTCACTCAGTAAAGAGTTTTCTATTTCCATCCATTTGCATGCAAAATTCAAGATGTTTTTAAATGCTGAGTAAAACTCTAATGTGTATATGTTCCATACCTTTTTTAACCATTCTTCTATTGAGGGGCACCTAGGTTGTTTCCAGGTTCTGGCTATTACAAATAGTGCTGCTATGAACATAGTTGAACAAATGCTTTTGTAATATGTTAGGGCATCTCTTGGGTATATTCCCAAGAGTGGAATTGTTGGGTCCTGAGGGAGGTTGACTCCCAGTTTCCTGAGAAACGGCCACACTGATTTCCACAGTGGCTGCACAAGTTTGCATTCCCACCAACAATGGATGAGTGTTCCCCTCATTCCGCATCCTCTCCAGCATAGGCTATCATTGGTGTTTTTGAGTTTGGCTATTCTGACAGGTGTAAGATGATATCTCAAAGTTGTTTTGATTTGCATTTCCCTGATCGCTAAGGAGGTTGAGCATGACCTTAAGTGCCTTTTGGCCATTCAAAGTTCATCTGTTGTGAATTCTCTGTTCAGATCAGTACCTCATTTTTTAATTGGGTTAATTAGAGTTTTATTGTCTAGTTTCTTGAGTTCTTTGTATATTTTGGAGATCAGACCTTTGTCTGATGAGGGGTTGGTGAAGATCTTCTCCCAGTCAGAAGGTAGCCTTTTTGTCTTACTGACAGAGTCCTTTGCTTTACAAGAGCTTCTCAGTTTCAGTAGGTCCCATTTATTCATTGTTTCTCTTATTGTCTGCACTCCTGGGGTTCTTCTTAGAAAGTGGTGTCCTGTGCCTATATCTTGTAGACTACTTCCCACTTTCTCTTCTATCAGGTTCAAAGTGGTCAGATTTATGTTGATGTCTTTAATCCATTTGGACCTGAGTTTTGTGCATGGTGATAGATATGGATCTATTTTCATTCTTCTACAGGTTGACATCCAGTTATGCCAGCACCATTTGTTAAAGATGCTATCCTTCTTCCATTGTATACCTTTAGCTCCCTTGCCAAAAATCAGGTGTTCATAAGATTGTGGGTTAATACCCGGGTCTTCTATTCGATTCCATAGGTCGACTTCTCTGTTGTTATGCCAATACCAAGCTGTTTTCAACACTGTTGCTCTGTAATAGAGTTTGAAGTCAGGGATGGTAATGCCTCCAGAAGTTCCTTTATTGTATAAGATTGTTTTGGCTATCCTGGGTTTTTTGTTTTTCCATATAAACTTGATTATTGTTCCCTCAAGGTCTGTGAAGAAGTTTTGTGGGACTTTGATGGGAATTGCATTGAATCTATAGATTGCTTTTGGTAGAATTGTCATTTTTACTATGTTGATTCTCCCAATCCAAGAGCAGGGGAGGTCTTTCCATTTTCTGGTATCCTCCTCAATTTCTTTCTTCAAGGACTTAAAGTTCTTGTCAAATAGGTCTTTCACTTCCTTGGTTAGAGTTACCCCAAGATATTTTATGCTATTTGTGGCTATCATGAAAGTGATGTTTCTCTGGTTTCCCTCTATGCTTCATTGTCCTTTGTGTATAGGAGGGGCAACCGATTTTTTGGAGTTGATCTTGTATCCTGCCACATTACTAAAGGTGTTTATCAACTGTAGGAGTTCTTTGGTAGAGTTTTTGGGGTCGCTTATGTACACTATCATATCGTCTGCAAATAACGAAAGTTTAACTTCATCCTTTCCAATTCGAATCCCCTTGATCCCCTTATGTTGTCTTATTGCTATTGCTAGAACTTTAAGCACTATATTGAAGAGGTATGGAGAGAGTGGACAGCCTTGTCGTGTTCCTGATTTTAGTGGAATGGCTTTGAGTTTCTCTCCGTTCAATTTGATGTTAGCTGTCGGCTTGCTATATATTGCTTTTATTATATTTAGGTATGATCCTCGTAAACCCAATCTCTCCAACACCCTTATCACAAAGGGATGTTGAATTTTGTCAAATGCTTTTTCAGCATCCAATGAAATGATCATATGGTTTTTTTCTTTCAGTTTATTTATATGATGGATTACATTGATAGATTTGCGTATGTTGAACCAACCCTGCATCTCTGGGATGAAGCCCACTTGATCAAAATGGATAATTTTTCTAATGTATTCTTGGATTCGGTTTGCCAGTATTTTATTGAGTATTTTTGCGTCAATGTTCATGAGTGAGATTGGTCTGTAATTCTCTTTCTTGGTTGTGTCTTTGTGTGGTTTTGGTATCAGAGTAACTGTAGCTTCATAAAAAGAGTTTGGCAATGATTCTTCTGTTTCTATATTGTGGAATACATTAAGGAGTATAGGTATTAGCTCTTCCTGGAAGTTCTAGTAGAATTCTGCATAGAAACCATCTGGTCCTGGACTTTTTTTGGTAGGGAGATTTTTGATAACAGCTTCTAATTCTTCACAACGAACAGGTCTATTTAGATTGTTCACCTGTTCTTGATTCAACTTTGGTATATGGTACTTAGCTAAAATAATGTCCATTTCTTTTACATTTTCCAACTTTGTGGCATATAAACTTTCGTAGTAAGATCTGATGATTCTCTGAATTTCCTCTGTGTCTGTGGTTATGTCCACCTTTTCATTTCTGATCTTATTAATTTGCATGTTCTCCCTCTGTCATTTGATTAGTTTGGATAGGGTTTTGTTGATCTTGTTGATTTTCTCCAAGAACCAGCTTTTTGTTTCATTGATTCTTTGAATTGTTTTCTGTGTTTCTATTTTGTTGATTTCAGCCCTCAGTTTGATTATTTCCAGTCTTCTACTTCTCCTGGGTGAATCAGCTTCTTCTTTTTTTTCTAGTGCTTTCAAGTGTGCTGTTAAGTCTCCAATGTGTGCTTTCTCTGTTTTCTTTAATAGGGCAGTTAGTGCTATGAACTTTCCTCTTAGCACTGCTTTCATAATGTCCCATAGGTTTGAGTATGTTGTGTCTTCATTTTCATTAGATTCAAGGAAGACTTTAATTTCTTTCTTTATTTCTTCCTTGACCCAGAGGTAATTCAGTAGTTGACTGTTCAACTTCCATGAATTTGTTGGCTTCCTGGGGGTAGCACTGTTGTTGAATTCTAACTTTAATCCATGGTGGTCTGACAAGACACATGTGGTTACTAATATTTTTTTGTATCTGTGGAAGTTTGCTTTGTTACCCAGTATGTGGTCAATTTTCGAGAAGGTTCCATGAGCTGCAGAGAAGAAGGTATATTCTTTCCTATTTGAGTGGAATGTTCTATAGATGTCTGTTAAGTCCATTTGATTCAATACCTCCAATAATTCTCTTATTTCTCTGTTGGGTTTCTGTCTGATTGACCTGTCCATTGGTGAGAGAGGAGTGTTGAAGTCTCCTACTATTAGTGTCTGTGGATTTATGACTGCCTTGAGTTCTAGAAGTGTTTCTTTTACATAAGGAGGAGGCTTTATATTAGGGGCATAGATATTCAGGATTGAGACTTCCTCCTGATGAATTTTTCCTGTTATGAGTATAAAATGTCCATCTCCATCTCTTCTGATTGATTTTAGTTTGAAGTCAATTTTGTTAGATATTAGAATGGCCACACCGCTGTTTCTTAGGTCCGTTTGCTTGGAAAACCTTTTCCCAGCCCTTTACTCTGAGTAGATGTCTGTCTTTGTGGTTGAGGTGTGTTTCTTGTAAACAGCAGAATGTTGGATCCTGTTTTCGTGTCCAATCTCTTAGTCTGTGCCTTTTTATAGGTGAATTGAGTCCATTAATATTAAGTGCTATTAATGACCAGTGGTTCTTGACTCCGGTTATTATTATTTTTTGTTTGTTTGTTTAATAGAGTTTGTATGTGTCCCTTCTTTGAGTTGTGCTCATGAAGGGTCGCTAGATGTGACTAACATAAATGGTGTGGGAAGACCTTCTGTATATGCTTTGCTTTTATTGGTTAATAAAGAAGCTGCTTTCAGTCAATGGCTTAACAGAATATAGTCAAGCTGGAATACACACACACACACACACACACACACACACACACACACGTGTGTGTGTTTAACAGAAGTATGCTTCAATTCTGACCATTGGTCAGGGTGGAAAGGATCTATCTCTATATCTCTATGGATTATCTTAATGTCCCAAATACCAAGTAACCATATTCTAGGTCAAGGTGTGTAGCCACAGTTGTTTCCAACAACACTGAGTAACCTCAAACTCTCTGATCTTCAGAAAAGGTAGAATAGGCTCACATTTTTGATTCTCTGCAACTTTCAAGCCCCATGCTGATACACCAAAATGTTGTTTGATTTTAGACTTTGGCCCTTTGGGGGTCTTGTCACCCATCTTCAAAATAACTACACACAGAGACTTATTATTACTTATAAATGCCTGGCCTAGGCATGGCTTGTTCTTTTCAATTTTTCTTAATTTAAATTATCCCATATACCTTTTGCCTCTGGGCATTTTCTTTTCCCTTTTTCTGACTATCTTTTCTTTCCTTCTTATTCCATTTCTGGCTATGTGGCAGTTTGGCTGTGTGGCTAGCCACTACTTTTCTTGCTTCAAGTTCTTTCTTGCATTCTAATCCCTGTTTATCTCGTTTTATTTCTTCTCTTTGCATGTCAGCCTCTCCTATACTTTCTCCTACCTTGCTATTGGCCCTTCAGCTCTTTATTAGACCAGTTAGGTGTTTTAGACAGGCAAAGTAACACAGCTTCAGAGAATTAAACAAACACAACATAGAAGCATACAATACATCTTTGCATCATTAAAACAAATGTCCCTCAACATAAATAAATGTAACAAATCTTAAAATAATATTTCTCAACAGTACTTTCTAAGACTTTTTTTTACTTCCTGAGTCTTATTTTATTTCATATTTAAAATGTGTCTCTCTGTATGGTATGTATGGATGTTCACATGTGTGTGGCAATGTCAGGCTTATGTTAGGCCTTATCTTCAATTGCTTTCTGTTGTTTTCCAAGGCAGGGTCTGTCAACTGAACCTTGAGCTTGCAGATTTAGATGATCTAGCTTGCTCTATGGTTTCACTGTTTCTGCCTTCTGAGTTTGGAGTACAAGGTAGCTGTCACACTCACTCAACATTTATTCAGGTTGTGTAAATTGATCTCTGTTCCTTCTGTCTGCATGTCATGGCAATTGTTTTATGCACTGTGTGGGGGCATGCATGTATTTATATATGTGTGTATGTGCTGTGGGTGCATATTCAAGTGTGCATGTGGAGTTGAAAGACCAAGAGGAAGGTACAGAGTTCAAGCTGGGGATTGTCAGGTTCAAACATATTAATGCACATGGCCCTTACCCTTAGGTTTCCCTTGATGGTAGAGGATTGGTTAGTGTAAATAAAAGATATCATATAGGGAATTTATCCAATGACTCCCTGGCATTAACCATTTGATCTTGTCACGGACAGTAACTGTGATTGAGTTGAGTTTGATGTCACGACCGCCTCGACCAGCAAGGAAGATGCAACACTTGACTCTTCTTTCAGCAGTTTATTCAGGAACCTTGAACAATCTTCTGACCCCGGGGGAAAGCCAGCCCACAGCTTAAATAGCCTCTGGGTAGCCAACCCTAGCATGCTATGTGGGAAATGTAGATAGGTCCAGATACTCGGAAGCAAGCCAGATCCTTAGCTTTAGCCATATATGGAGTTGTTTGTGACTGAGAGCACTCACCATCGGGGAGGTAGAAGGCGGAAGCCAGCGCCATCTTTAAGGCGCGGCACTACGCAGCTCTCTACAATTTGAACTAGTTTTTTGAGTATGTCACACGTAGGAGAACTTTGGCATCTTCAGTCACTGTGTCAAGGAAAAGAAATTGTAAGTAAAAGGTTTTTCTAAAGTAAAGACCTGTAGCAAGGAGTCCACCATTAGCTGAGGCAAATTTCTCCAAATATTTTAAAAACGATTCTCCGAATGTTTCTTCTTTCTTAGTTTCTAACAAATAAGGTGATTTAAGGATTTTTCTCAATTGTTCAACAGGCATTTGAGAATCCTCAGCCATGACTTCCAGGGATTCATCATCCACTCCAAAGAGGACTCGATAGTGGTTTAACTTCACCTTCAGCTTTTCCACATCATCCCTGATTATGCCCACTACAGGAACAGTAGCCAAAATTCCAGCCTTGAAGGCTTCCATCCAAATATACTGCTGCATAGACTTGTGCTTTCTGTCAATGGCTGCCTCTGTGATATTAGGCAAGGAAAGCATTAAATTGTGGCGCTTTTGATTAGGAAGATCCTTTATCAGAGTGTTCATCAGGACTGGAAAATCATAGTCAAATAAATGTCTGTTTGAAATCAAGAAAATGTGTGGTTCATCCATGTTATTCTGACTGAAGGTGTTCACACAGTAGCTTCTGATCTGCTGCAGGGTCTTTTCTCTTTCAAAGGTGCGTGGTTTGGATTTTTTTTCATTTTGTAAATCTATGTCGACCTTGGTTCTTACAAAGTAGTAATTCTTTTTCATGAATATGATTGCTTTGGCAAGGTCTAGTTCAAGTTTTGTAAATCGTGTGGCAGAAACAATAATAAAGAAATCATACTCTTGGATTTGGACTTTCTCCAGATAATCTTTTGGTAGAAAGTTCATAGTTCCAATGCCAGGCAGGTCCCATAAAGTCAACGTTTCAATTTTGGGGTGCTTGTATGGAGTTCTCATCATAGTTGTCTCGGTTACCCCTTCTTCAGCTGCATCTTGGTCTTCAGGTCCCACCCCCCTCAGGGCATTGATGAGGCTAGACTTCCCTCCTCCAGACTCTCCTGTCACAGCAATGTTTATTGGGGCCTTATCAATATTTTTTAAAGCATCATTGATTACAGAGTTTGCCCCTTGAATGTTTCCTTTTTTCAGATGAAATTCTATTAAATGGATAGTCTTCTGAGAAATGATTTTGTTTTCTGCCTTAATGTTCATAAAATATTTAGTGGCACTGGACACCAAATCTCCATTGTCTTCATTGTTAGATGTATCAGAAAATATCTGACCCATGATTCTGATAAAAAAAATCACTGAAAAAAGGAAGAGAGAGTAAGTTACAAAAGATCAAAGATGACATTGTCTTTATCACTGTGTTTCTTCTCTGTTCTGCAGTCTTAGTTATGTTCTGATATTGTCTAGTTCCTGCACATTTTCTGCTGATTTTTTGTTTTTTTCAAAAAGATACATGCTATAGTCCTATTGGAGGAAAAAATCTCATTTGAGGAATTTCTCCCATCGGAATGAACTTGGGGGCATGCCTTTGGAACATTTTCTTGATTGAGGATTGATGAGGGATGTCACAACTCAATCTCGGTGGTACCACCCTTGGGATGGTGGTCCTGGGCAATTTAAGAAAACATTTTGAACTACTGGGAGCAAGGTAGTAAACAACTTTCTCCCATTGTTTCTGCTTCTATTCTTGTAGAGTTTCTGTGGTGACATCCTACAACAATGGACTGTGATCAGAATGGGTAAACCCAAATGTAGGAAGGAGCGATCTTGTTGTTTCCCAGCCACCTGGCCAACTTAGACCCAAAATTATCACATAGAAACTGTTCTTAATTAAATCACTGCTTCACCCATTAGCTTCTCATTGGCTAACTCTTATGCATTAATTTAATCCATCTCTATTAATCTGTGTATTGCCACATTATAGTGGCTTACTGGCACAGTTTCATCTTTTTTCTGGTGGTGGCTCCATGGCTTTTGTCTGACTCTTCCTCCTTTCTCCCTGAACGTAAATTAGTTTTCCCTGTCTACCTAAGTTCTACCCTATCAAAAGGCCAAAGTGATTTCTTTATTCATTAAGCAATAAAAACAACACATAAAAAGTTCTAAGTTATTAAAACATTTAAAATTCCATATTCTGAAAGTCTCTGAAAGATTTGAAGAATATCTAACTGAAATATATCTCTATATATCTAGAAAACCTAACTAATGTGACTACAGCTTTACCTATATTTATTAATTATGCATTACACTTTTAAATGAACTGCACATTCACAATACCTTAATCAAGAGCAGAAATATATATATATTTATATATATATATGTTATGTATATATTATCATTATATATAATAACAAAATTGACCTTAAATTTGTATCAATAAACTAAAGTCCATACCAATGCAAATCTCCATTGCATATTTCCCTTTAAATGTAAAAAAAATTATAAGCAATATTTGTAAATATGGGCAAAGTTTCTCCAAACTGTTTTCTGCTGTTTATTGGGTAAAGTATTTTCTTTGTGCAGGTGTTCATGGTGACCTTTTAGGGTGGCTTGTTTCATCAAACCATATTGGTCTGGAAGCAATCCACAGGTTCTCATCTTCTGTGAAAACAAAAGAAGAACCCCTTTTCCAAAGCAACATATCCTTAGATCCATATTTTGAAATCAAGATACCTTTAAGATATATATGTTGTTTCAGCTTAGCAGCCCATACAATGAAATGTCTCTCTGTACTCAGCTCCTTCACAGTCAAAAAATTCAAAGATAATACAATAATATACATAATCTAGACTTTTTATGTGACTTATTTTTATTTACTCCCTTTAATCTATGACTGTCTATACTCTGTCTCTTTAAGGACTTTACCTTTTTAAAAAAATACATTTACTTCTTTTTATAACTCTCTATACTCCTTTTCTCTTTCCCAAGCCTATGTACATTTATCCAACACTATGATTCATCTGGATTTGTCTTTATTGCATATCTGTAATTCTTTACTGTCCAGAAGCACTTCTGAAAATGCTAAGCACTTTTTTAAAACTTAAATGTGCCATTGATAGGGGAAATAAGGCAGTGCCTGTTTGCCCTCCCTGTCCAGCAGAAATCCATGCACACTGCCCCACTTCCAGGTACATAACTGGTTCAAGTTGCCATTAAGCAAGGTGCAGCATGTTGCTCACAAACCCCATTCAAATATTCGATCTCCTGAAAGAGCCAGAAGTCGCACTGGCATCATGGTCCAGAAAGCCGGCATTTCAAAACAGCGTGGCTTTTCTGCTATGACTGAGTCAGGAAAACCTCTTCTAAAGGAGCTGCAGCATGCAGCCAGCTGAAAAAAAAGGCAGCTAAATTTTTTTTTGTGTGTGTGTGTCTAGAGTTTGTTTCCAAGCCCTCTCAGGTTTTTCATTGATTTAGTCTACCATGTTGGCATGTCAATTGTAGGAAGGACAGCACTTGTTTGGTTCCCAGTTGTTCGTCTAGCTTAGACCTGAAATAATCACATAGAAACTGTATTAATTAAATCACACTAATTGGCCCATTAGCTCTAGTTTCTTATTGGCTAACTCTTACATATTATTTTAACCCATTTCTATTAATCTGTGTATTGACACATGACAGTGGCTTACTGGCAAAGTTTCAGCACATCTGTCTCCGGTGGTGGCTCCATGGCTTCTTTCTGATTCTGCCTCTTTTCTCCCAGCATGCCATTGAGTTTTCCCTTCCTACCTAAGCTCTTCCATATCAACAGGCCAAGGCAGTTTCTTTATTCATTAAGCAATAAAAGCAACACATGGACAGAAGGACCTCCCATACTACCCAAAACTCATTTCTATTTTCAAAATGCGTACCTTCTTGATGTTTATAAAAGCAGTAGAAAGGAAATAAGAATAAATTTCATCTAGGTCTCAATTAAATCCTTAATTATAGAAAATTAAAACAAGTAAAATAAAGGAAAATTATATAAAAACAGTATGAATCCTTACGCCAGCATCAAGAACAACAGAAACCAGAGCAATTGTTTTGCATCTAATCTGACTGCAGTGTTGTCTATCAAGTCCAAGATATTTCTTTACTTGTACATACTTCCTTCAGTGTGTGTCTTCAGATGAATGGAAATTTAATCAACACACATCTAGTTTTTATAAATATAATGAATGATAATTTACACAAGTGTTTAATCAATATAATGTCTCTCAAATGTTCACATAACTCTAATTTGTCTCTTTTATTGATGTTTTCAAAAGATGTCAGTAGGTCTAACTACTGTATTTGGTTGAAATATTTTTTAATTTTCTTAGATTTACTTTCCTCTTATCTTTTTCATGACTTGAAGCTGCTCTCCATGAGGAATATAATCTTGCAATGACATAAAACTTCTTATTCTTATTGTTAAAACCCTTTTCTTCAATACCATATTACAGAATCATCAAGTCATTACATTGATTCATTATTTTTTTAACCTTTTATTTTATAAGAGCAATCTAACTGTGTACTAGAGTTGTAGATCAGTTGGTAGTGAGTTTTCCCAGCATGATTAAGGCCTTGGTTTCAATCCCTAGCACCTCATCAAATGCAGATGCTTATGGATCTCTGTCATTCTGCTTCACATAGAGTAGACATAAAGTGTTCAGTATTGTCAGGTGATCCTTGGTACACAGTGAGATAGAGGCTAGCCTGGGCTACTTGAGACCCTGTCTCAAGAAAATGATCTCATATTTCTGCCCCTTATTCTCCACAAACCTGCCTACAAGCGTGCCCACAGCAGCAAAAGGACCTCACCATTAGTTAAGGAGATGGCAAATCCCCATTGTCACCCTGGAGCCTCTTCTGTCTGTCTCACCCATACCAAATCAGGTCTCAGACTTAATCACTATTTCCAAATCCAATCACAATTGATAGCTATTCCTGCATTATCTTCTTCAAGGCCTCCTTAGTACCAGATTTGATTATGTCATGAACTTTACTATATTTCCTGTGATGGTTCTTGCAACAACATGGATGCACAAATAGCCTGAGTTATGATACTGAACTCATGTCATGTCACAACAATTCTGAAGTGTACCATAAGAATCCCAAATTCACTCAGAGAATACGCATTATGTATACAGTACACATGCTACATATAACATACCTTTAAATTTAATTATTTCACTTCTGGGGCTTCTAGTATCTGAATTCCAAACACCCTGGTATCCCTGGTTGTCTTCTCGTTGCAGAACTGTGAGCTTAGTGACTGTTCCCTTTCCTTGTTGCTCTCCCCCAGTAGGCACATGGCTATTAACTTAATCTCCTTTCTCTAGGTTCTGCTTTGATTATACAGGCTTTAGCATTGACATTGTCATTGAGATATAAAATTGTACCTGCCTGCATCTTTCACCACCCTCTCACTGTTTCTGTCTCTTCAAATACTTGCTGCCACATAATATATATTCGTCTGGGTTCGTTTGCTGTCATCCTCCCATAGTACAATGCACCTCAGATAGTAGAATGAGCTTTTGTCTCGCTCACTTCTTCCTCTCCAACATACAGTAGATGGTACTTTATCATCACAATGAATGAAGACTGTGATAAAAACATTTGAACTTTATTGTGAACAATTGTGCCCGTTCTGTAATTCTAATTGGTCATTGGGTTATTGAAGACCTAGTACAGTTATAGAGTGTGGGTAGCAAGAGTCTGGTGAAAGCAAAAGACAGTCCAATACAAAACAGAGATGTCCTTAGAATCATGCTGTGTATGAGCATAAGCACATACAGACTCACTGTAAGGCAGCCCATGTCCAGTCTACAAGAATAATGGGGACTACCTTACAGGAAACCAGAGCTGCAGAACTTTGTTCAAACTGACTTTATATATATTTCAGGAGAGGCTGAGTAAAGAAAATGTCCCAAAGGGGAAGCTAAGACTATTTAAATAAACATCTTTGCCTGATTCGCTGTTGAAGGTGACAGTCACCCACAGGGCACAGACAGAATGTCCCTGAAGCACCCTGACACTTCTATCTTTTCAGTTTTCCCCTCTCATTCTTTCAGCTCTAGGCCTGGATCTGTGATGCAGACTCAAGTGTGACAGTTGTCTGCAAGGTCTTTCCACTGACTATGAACACAGGTAACGAGAAGGCCGTGACACAGCAGGCATTAGAAAGGGAAGCCTGCCTGAATGACAGCTGTCACCACACCCTGACACAGCTCATGTTCTCACAGATGGAGAGAAGGTCTTAGCACTCCTGCTTGACAGTAAAGAAAACCACAGTGAAGAAGATTCTTCAGGCACAGATTTCCACAGTCAGGTACAGCAGAAACAGTGAGTGGAGAGAACTCTTCTCTGCAAGCCAGAGTCTTCTGGACGTAAGGGATTAAATCATTGACCCTGAACTAGGTACAAAATGAGACTCAGATACAACAACCTCAGGCACATTGCAGAGACATTTCATCACCTGAAACATCCAATTACAACAAGGTTAGAGAGAGAGAAATAAGAAACATCAAAACCTATGTCCAGATCATTTCCTTTAGGCCTACCTCAACTTGAAGTATTTGCTAAGACCATCCATTGTGTAGTTCTGTCCAACTCCCACCAAAGCACCATAGCTTTCAAGCAGAGGATCCTCACTCTCAGGGCACGTTCCTAAATGTCTTGTTCCCTATCTGTTCTTTAGAGAAGAGAGGTGATGAGGGTTAGAATTTAGATCTGAATGCCCCTGTCCACTTACCGGAGAATTCCGTGTCCAGTGTTTGTGCTCACTCTAGTTCAGTTGCAGGAGCTACCATCCAGTGTGCTCCAGGTTCTTTACATGAACCCACCCCTGCTCCCTAGGCAGGACTTATATCATCTTCTAGGTTCTGCCCCTCCCCTCTCAGGGTGATTTGGCCAATCATGAAGGAGCATGTATCTAGTATCTTTTCAGAATCACCTTCATTTATAAGAAAAGGAAAGTAAAGTAGCTTCAACAGCTGTTCTCACTCTATCAACATTCATTTCTTGGCAGAAAAGCCTGGACAGTCTTAAAATAACATTGTGGAACAGTGCTTGGAAAAAACAGTGAAAACAGAGAAGCAGCTTACTAGCTGGGCTGGACAGATATCCTTGAAATATAATATTCTCAGATTTCCTCTTGATGGGTTTTTCCTGTGACTATTATGAAATAACCTTCTTTGTCTCTTTTGATTGATTTTAGCTTGAAGTCTATTTTGTTAGATATTAGGATAGCTACACCTGCTGGTTTCTCATGTCCATTTGATTGGTATATTTTTTTTTCCCAACCCTTAACTCTGAGATGATGTCTGTCTTTAAGGTTGAGATGTGCTTCTTGTACACAGAAGGAGGATGGATTCTGTTTTCATTTTCAATCTGTTAGCCTGTACCTTTTTATAGGTGAGTTGAGTCCATTTACATTAAGGGATATTAATGAGCAGTGATTGCTATTTCTTGTTAATTTAGTTTTCATTGTCGGTGATGCTAATTTGTGCGTTTTTCCCTTTTTTGGGGATTTGCTGCTATGAGTTCATCAGTTGTCTGTGTTTTTGTTGGTGTAGCCAACTTTCTTGGGTTGGTGTTTTACTTCTAGTATTTTGTGTAGGGCCGGGTTTGTGTCTAGGTATTGGTGAAATCTAGTTTTGTCATGGAATATCTTGTTTTGTCCTTCTATGGTGATTGAAAATTTTGCTGGGTATACTAGTCTGGTCAGGCATCCATGGTCTCTTAATGTCTGCATAACGCTTGACCATGACCTTCTGGCTTTCACTGTCTCCAATGAGAAATCAGGCATAATTTTGATAGGTCTACCTTTATGTGTTACTTGGCCTTTTCCCTTTGCAGCTCTTAATATTGTTTCTTTACTCTGTATGTTTTGTGTTTTATTATGTGGCAAGAAGACTTTTTTTTTTTGATCCAGTCTACTTGATGTTTTTATAAGCTTCTTATATCTTCATTGGCATATCTTCCTTTAGGTTGGGAAAGTTTTCTTCTATGATTTTGTTAAATATATTTTCTGTGCTTTTGAGTTGAACTTCTCCTTCTATACCTATTATTCTTACATTTGGCCTTTTCATGGTGTTCCATATTTACTGCATATTTTGGGTTAAACTTTTGTTAGAGTTAATGCTTTTTTTTAACTGATGAATCTATTTCCTCTTTTGTGTCTTCAGCACTTGAGATTCTCTCTTCCATCTCTTATATTCTGCTTTTCATGCTTGCGTTTGTGGTTCCTGATTATTTTCTCATGATTTCTCTTTCTATAATTCCCTAGGCTTGTGTTTTCTTTATTGTCTCTATTTCAATTTTTAAGTGTTGAATAGTTACTCCCCTTCTTGGGCAACTACATGGTGTCTACCTCCTTTGGCAGCTACATGGCATCTTTTTGACTCTGCCTATTCTCTCTATAAATCTATATTCAGATTTCTCACCTGACTATGCTCTGCTAAGCCATTGGTCAAAACAGCTTTACTTATCAACCAATAAAAGCAACACATATAGAGAGGAATATCACACATCATATTCTGTAGGTCTTTTAAGTGTTTGAATATTACCTATCATTGTGGGATACCTCTCTGTGCATCTAGCAAACCTAACATGACTGTAAATTTGACAAACATTGGTGACTCTACCTGTAATTCTCAATAACCTATTTGCTTAAAGACTAAAGCCTCACAATATAAAAATAAACAACCTGTAAACAGATATACAATATAAGTACAATAACTTTGACATTGTGACAATATACAAAAATATTTTCTGCAGAGCTAGAAATGTATAGCACAATATGACAAAAATAACCTTACTTTGCATCAATATACAAAATATCCTAAACAGGAGTAGAAACAGATATACAATATGACACAAATATTTTTACATTTGTATTAATACACAAAAATATTTTAAGAGAAGTAGGAACACATATATAATATGACAAAAAGTAATTTTGAATTTATAACAATATACAAATTAAATAGGGAAAGAAAAATAATTTTATATTTGTATCAATATGCATGAATCCATAACAATGAAAATTATCTAAAACTGATATTTGTTTATTTAGTTTACAAGTAGATATAATAATCTACCTCATTAAGCTATTATATATATCCCCTTTTTTCTATTCCAAATGAGATTCCCAAGTCTAATCTTTTTTACTCTGCCCTCAACCCTTTAACAACTTATAACCAACCCATTACAAATGATAATTATCTGTATAACCCTGAGAAAAAACAAAACCTATACACCTCTCCTGATGGCAGAGGGGGTGTTGTATTCTTAGAATTATTTCCAACTGTCGGGGGAGGGTGACAATATTGCTATGGGATTCTGTAAAAGACAAAACCAATTCTTTCTCACTAGAACTAGCTGTAACATTTATAGCTAGTCTCTGAGTAATGGGTGAAAGTAATCTGACGTTCTGGCCAGAGTGTATAAGAAGATGGACCATCTCAGCTAGCCACCTTGGAATTATTCTGAGAAGTTTGTAGTCCAAAATCAATCTTTGGGTGGTGTTTATTGGCTAAATGGCATTATTATGAACCAAGTAGAATCATTGGTGTGGAGCCCCATCATCCTTTTGGAGACTTCAGAGATCACTGTAAGGAAATTTTTTTGTTCACTGTGGAAAATTTAAACAGTATTAATATCAACATGGAAAGTTTAAATTTTAGGATTGTATTATATCTAAAGAAATGTTCTAAAGAGTCAAAAATAAGTATGAGTGGAAAGAGATTTGCGGTGACATTTTTCTTTAGGTTTTGAGTTTCTTCTGTCACAAATTAGGTGGTTCTTCTGATATGAGGTAGAGACTCTAAAATTTTCTTTTAACAGCATGCTTGAATTTAGAGAAGAAGAGAGCCACACTCCAACTCCAAGGTCACCTTTGCTTTTTAATTGAATCAAGACTACACATTTTTTGAGAAGTAAAGAGATTTTAATTTTTAGTTACTGAGAATTTACCCTGTAGAGAATATTTGTAAAATTAGGCCAGATATTTCTTTGCTTGGTAATTTTTTTCCCATAGAGTTTCCCTTCTTCTTTAGATGTATAGATGTTCAAGGTCTTTTGACTTCTTGAAGATGGGTATTTTCATTTTCCTGTAAAGACAATAACAGAACTATGCCCTGATCCTTATTTGATGCTTTTTCCTTTCACATATAGAATTGCCATATCCTTTAAAGAAGTATTACTTCTTCTTAAGAGGTCTCTCCTGTTAGAATTAGATATTTATTAATTTTGATGGTACCCATAGCTTTTCCTCTCCTGTGGAAACAACAGTGGAATCCCTTCCTCAACTAACACATATCCTGGTTTCAATTCTGAGATCTATACATCTCTTAAGTATACAGGTTTATTCAGTTTAGTAGTTTTTTTCTGTTTTCATTGTCTCTCCTCAGCTTTTGCTCCTTTCTTATGAATATTTATGACTTATAAAGCTGTACAGTGTTAGCGTGTGTTAGTATATTGTGAAAATACACTGGGGAGATGTAGTGCTTAATGGGAAAGCACCTGTGGTTTCAGATGTAGATACCTTAAGGCAAGGAGGTAATTGTAATTAATTATAATATATTGTCCAGGTCTGTCACATTTTATACACCGTGAGATGCTACAGTAGAAAGTTTAGGCCCATTACACAGTAGATATAGACACTTACAGAGACTGACCTCTCTATCAATCTTCAATGGAGAATTTTGACTTGTACAGGGGACTAACTGCTTTGTCAACTTTATATGCCTGTGCTGGAGAGACTGCTCAGTGGTGAAGAGCATGTACTGCTCTGAAAGAAGAACCAAGCACGTTACTGACACCATGTCAGGTGACTCACAACTGCCTCTAATTCTAGCCCCAGGGATTTCTGATGCCTCTGACTGGATCTGCATTTACATGCACATACTTCAATCCCCATAATACATATACATGTTTAAAATTAAAGTAAATCTTTAAAAAGATATACTGCTGAATGCCAAGCCCACTCCAAAAGGTATATATTTTTCTATTTCCCAGGTGTCTCCTTAGAAGTATCTTCCAAACACTATTCGATGGCTCACCAGATATAATAAAATGGAAGTAACACTTCATGTCATATCAGGCCACCACAAATGAAAGCTGAATATTAATCAATGAAACAAACAACAGGAAACATACAAACTCATGGAATTTAACTCTCTGGGTGAAAAATGGATGAAGACAAAAGTTAAGAAAGAATTAAAGATTTTTTAGAATTGAATATGTCAATTCACAACATACCCAAACTTATGCAACAATGATTGTGTTTCTAAGAGGTAATTTCACAGCACTACGTGCCTACATGAGACAACAAAAACTAACAGCAAACAAGCAAACAAATTGAAGCAACCTGCAGAGATCTCTTGCTAATAACTTAAAAGTTCCAAAAATTTCATCTGGAAACTTCTACAACTAATAAACACGTTCAGTGAAGTGTCTGGATAAAGAATAAATTTAAAAAAATCAGTAGCCTTCCTGCCCAAATGGAAAATGGACTGAGAAAGAAATGAGGAAACTAAAATCTCTCTTAATAGCCAAAAATAATATAAAATATTTTGTGGTAACTTTAACCAAACAAGTAAAAACTTGTATGATATAAACGTTAGGACACTGACTAAAGAATTTGAAGAAGTTATCAGAAGATGAAAATACTCCCATGCTCATGATTGTGTAGTATGACTATCATACAAACAGGCCACCCTACAAATGCAATCAATGGATTTTATGTAAACTTCATCAAAATTCCACCACACGATTCTTCACAGAACTTTAAAGGACAATTTTCAGCTTCATTTGGAAATATCCCCCCACCAGACATCAAACACACCTTTTATTATATGAAAGCATTATAACTGTGCACTGAAGATGTAGGCCAATGGATGGAGAGCTTTCCCAGCCTGAATAAGGCCTTGGTTTCATTTCTAGCACATGCACCTAGGTGCATGTGTATCCCTGCAATTTTGATACTCAGGGAGTTGAGGTTAGAGAGTCAGAACTTCAAGGTCATCCTTGGTACATAGTGAGTTAGAGACTATGCTGTGGTACTTGAGTCCATGTCTTGAAAGAATAAATATGAAATCCAGAAAGATGGTTCAGCATGTAAATACACTTGCTACCAGGTCTAAGGACCTGAATTGGATTATGGGATATTTAATTAAATCAGATCAACTCAGATCTCATATTTCTGCCATTTATTCTCCGCAAACCTGCCTGCAAGACCTCCCATGACATCACAAGGACCTCACCATCAGTTAAGGAGACGGCAAATCCCCAGTCTCCCTGGAGCCTCCACTGTCTGTCTCACCCATAGCAAATCAGTTCCCAGACTTAATCTCTATTTCCAAATCCAGTCACAACTGATCATTCTTCCTACGTTATCTTCTTCACGACCTCCTCAATTCCAGCTTTGATAATGTCATCCATATTACTATTTATTTAACATTTCCACCTTCTCCCACCCCCCTTACCCTCCCCCTCCCCCAGTCCTCCTTTCTCTTGCTTTCTTGGTTTGCTATGTACTGTCAATGTCTGTCTCAAGAAGTCTCTGAGGTCTCTCTAAGATTTCTCTTTTGGTCTTCTCTCTTTGTTCTCTCTCTTTTTCCCCTCAGTGTTGTAGCAAGCTCTTGGTTCCCTCAAGTATTACAGCAAGCTGTGTTTCAGAGTTCCACTAAGATTGCAGCCTTGTTTTTTGAGATAGAGTTTCTCACGGACTTTTAAGCTCATCAATTGTCTTGACTACATGGCTTGTGATTTCTTGAGATCCTACTGTCACGACCTCCCAGTGCTAACATTACAGGTACATGCCACCCAATCTGGTGTCTTATGGGTGCTGTGGGTCTAAGCTGAAGTCATCATGCTTATGCAGCAAACACTTGACATTTCCCCCAGCAATCAAACGCTCATATCTTAATCACTGCTATTAATCACTAGCACCTTGAGGGAATCCACGAATTATTCAAACGTGACACAGTTTGATGTAATTCATCTCATTTGTATCCTTTCTTGGTCCACCTGAATTACATTCTCTCCTGAAAGGATTCACGATACATTCTCATTTTAAAAATTTTATTTACATAGCTTTTTCCACTTGTTTATATCTATGTATGTATGTACGTATGTATCTCTCTATCTCTCTACATCTCTATCTCTCTATCTCTCTACATCTCTATCTCTCTATCTCTCTAATCTATGAGTGCACACATTCATAATTTGTGTTTAGAGACCAGAGGGCACCTTGTGGGAGTTTATTCTCAATTTCTACCATGTGAATTCTGGAGACTGAATTCACATCTTCAGCCTCGGCAGAACGCACCCTTATGCACTGAGCCATCTTACTGGAACCCACAGTATCTTTTTTTATTGAGTTTTTAGCATATGTTAAGTCTTTATTCTTTGTTCCTCAGTATGAGAATATTACATATAAACACAAATTTAACTTAGGAAATGAAGCTATTGCTAGGATAGACGGGTAGCAGGATTATAGAAGTGATTTTTCAGCTTCATACTCAGGTTTGATCCTGCCATTATGATTGTATTACTAAGTCCTTACCTCATGCCAAGTCAATCCTTGTTTTCTGCTCGCCATGAATTTGCATTCTCTTTCTTGTATATTGTTCTCTTCCTAAATACACTCTCCTATTTCTTTTTTAAAGATTTATTTTATTGTATTAAAAAGTAAGGAAAAAGTGCTTGGATGTATTGCCTGTGTGTATGTAAGTGGACATCATGTATGGAACACCTGCAGATGCCAGTAAACTGACAATGGAGTTACAGATAGTTGTGAGCTACTAAGTGAGTTCTGGAATTTGAACCTGGGTGCTCTGGAAGAGTAGCCAATGGTCTTAACAACTGATCCATATCTCTAGCCCTGGTAAGTTGTGGAACCTTTAGTATGTGGGATCTAGTGAAGGTGCTGATATATTTGTGTGTATGACACTGTCCCTTCTATTGCTTTTCTTCCTGTCTGTGGGGTGAAGTTGACCACCACTGTAATCCAGCACCATCAAGAGAGACCTAAGCCAGATCTGACCAACTATGTCATGGAAACTCTGAATCTATAAGCTGATATAAGCCTTTCCTTGAGAGTTTAATTATGCCACTTATTTGTGATAAGGAAAAGTAAATTTTTTGCTAAGGGACACTCAATCGTTATTTCTATTAAACTTGAAAATATTCTGAGTTTTTTCCTTTGGAAATGAGTATCTTAGGTTCAATACTTACACTACACTCCTACTATGTGAAATGAATTTATTAATAACAAACTACATAGGATGATATTGGGGGAAGAGATTTGAGGAGGTTCTGATGGCTACCGGAGGTCATGAGGACCATACAACGACAGGAGAGATGCTTTCACAGAAAGAGCAAGAACAGGTGACTCATGCAGTAAGGTAAGTCCTGTGTGGACACGAGGGTGGTTGATCTCAAGGACCTGACTGGTGGTACCTGGATCTTAGATGCCCAGTGCACAGCAGTATGAGAGCCAGGTCTACAGGAGATTATTGCAGTCTGAACTGTCAGATCAGTGCCTTCTTCTGTGTCTCTTCCAGACGTTTAACTCAGTTACTGTTTATCACATTTTGTTTTGAGGAAAACAAAGTGTTAGGTCAAGGAACAGGATCTGAGATTATCATCAAAAAAAAGTAACACTGCCAACAAACAACATGAGTGTATCATGTGTATACCAGGAATGTCAAGTACCAACAGCAGACACTCTTTGTAATCAGCAATTTATTAAGTATTATTTTATGGCATCATATATGAATCAAAGTAGTTCTTCACCATCATTGTCAAGATAAGAAATGACAGACAGAGGAAACTCAGGGTTCTCTGCTGGTTCTGGCAAGGAATTATAGATATTCTTTACTGTCTCTAGAAGGATTCTGATGAGGATTTTTAGGAATTGATAGGTTATTAAGAAACTTGTGCTTGTTGGCTATAGTTCCTTTTGACTTTGGTCCTAAGGTCTTCCTGTTGATAGAATCTATAAGCCATGGGTAGTCACTCTTTTAACTCAGACTTAATGAGGGTAGAATTAACTTTTAGGTGAATGTGCATGAGTGTATGCGTGTGTGTGTGTGTGTGTGTGTGTGTGTGTGCATGTGTGTTGTGACACACAATGAGAACAACAGAGCAAGGTGCATAAAAAGTAAGAAATGTTTGTGCACAGGTTCCAGAGAGGTTAATGTTGCAACAGAAAATCATTGTAAGGAAGTACAGAAGTGACACAGAGCTCATCCTCCCTCCCCCTCTCTCCTCCTCTCTCTCTTTCTGTGTGTGTGTTCAAGTTTGTGTGTGTAGTTGAAAGACTTGAAAGAAGGTGTAGGTGAACATATAGAGTTGAAGACAGATTGGGCGTTGTCAGGTTCTAACATATTAATGCACATGACCCTATTCTTATGTTTTGCCTTGTGGTAGTGGATTGGCTAGAAAAGATGTTGGAGGGGATAATTTATTCTAATGCCTCTCTGGCATTAATCATTTCATGTTGTCATGATCAGTAGCTGTGGGTGAGTTGAATTTGAGTGATTCTTTTGAATATGCCTCTTTAAGGAGAACTTTGGCATCTTCAGTCACCGTGTCAAGGAAAAGAAATTGAAAGTAAAAGATTTTCCCAAAGTAAAGACCTGTAGCAAGGAGCCCACCACTAACTGAGAGAAAAATTTCCAAACATTTGAAAAGTTTTTCTCCTAATGTTTCATTTTCCTTATTTGTCAACAATGAATGAGATTTAAGTTTTTCTTTCAGTTTTTCGACAGGCACTTGGCAATCCTTAGCAATTAATTCCAGGGATTTGTCATCCACTCCAAAGAGGGCTCGGTAGTGGTTTAAAATCTCTTCTAGCTTCTTTACTTCACTGTTGCTGATGCACTTCAGTGCAGGATAAGCAGTCAAAACACCTTCCTTGAGGGCTTCCAACCAGAGAAGCTGCTTTGAAGTGTTGTACTTTGTTTGAATGGCTGCGTCTGTAATATTGGGCAAGGAAAGCATAAAATTGTGGCGCTTTTGAGCAGGAAGATCCTTTATCAGGATGTCCACTAGGCTTGGAAAATCATAGTCAGATAAATTGTGGTTAGAGATTAAGAAAATCTGTGGTTCATCAATTTTATTTTCACGAAAGGTATCCAGATAGGAGTTTCGGATTCGCTGCAGGATCTTTTCTCTGTCAAAAGTACGTGGTTTGTATTTCTTTTCATTATCGATATCAAAGTCCACCTTGGTTCTCACAAAGTAGTAATTCTTTTCCATTAATGTGATTACTTTGGCAAGATCTATTTCATGTTTTGTAAAACGTGTGGCAGAAGCAATAATGAAGAAGTCATACTTTTGGAATTCTACTTTCTTCAGATAATCTTTGGGTGGAAATTTCAGAGTTCCAACACCAGGAAGATCCCATATTTTCAAATTTTTAATTTTTGGGTGTTTGTATGATGTTATCTTCATAGTTGTCTCTACCACCCCAACTTCAGCTGCATCTCCCTCATCAGGTCCCACCTCCCTCAGCGCATTGATAAAGCTGGACTTTCCTGCTCCAGACTCTCCGGTCACAGCAATGTTTATGGGGACATTATCAATATTTTTTAATGCATCTCTGATTATAGAGTTTGCCCCCTGAATATTTCCTTGTTTCAGATGTAGCTCAATCGAATGGATGGTTTCCAGAGGAATGATTTGGTTTTCTGCCTTGATATTCTTAAAATTTTTGGTGAAGCTGGAAACCAAATCTCCATTGTCTTCCTTCTCAGATGCATCAGAGATTACCTGACCCATGACTTGGTTGGAAAAGGGCCCTGAAAGGAGGAAGGAGAGTAAGTTACAATAACCTGAAGACACCTCCATGCTTGGCACTGTGTTCTCTATGCTGTAGCCTTAGTTACGTCCTGATAGTGATTAATTCCATATTATTTTGTGCTGCCCATTTTTTGACAACAAGATACAAACTGGAGTCCTTTTGTTGGAGAAAACCTCCTTTGAAGAATTGCCCCCATCAGTTGGACTGGGGACAGCAGGTCTATTGGACATTTTCTTGACTGAGACTGATGTTTGAGGTCCCAGCCACAAGGGGAGGTGCCATCCCTGAGTTGTAAGATAAAGCAAATGATCCAAATGTGGGATCAAGCCAGTAAACAGCATTCTCCCACTGTTCCTGCCTCTGCTCCTGTCTGAGTTTCTGCTCAGATGTCCCTCAGTGATAGACTGTGATCAGAGTGTATAAGTCAAAAACAAATAAACAAAAACACAACCTCTTTTCTCCCCCAAATGCTTTTCATCATTCTGTCCATCACAGCAATAAAACGCAAACCAGAACAGACACCTACTAGCTCTTAACTAAACCCTTAATTATGAAAAAATAAAATTTAAGTAAAGTAGGGGAAATAATATAAAAATCTACATAATTTCTTTAGCCAGTATTAATGATTATCAAACCACAAACAACTGTGTTTCATCTACCCTGACTGTAGTATTCTGTAATAAACACAAGGTGTCTTTTCCGACTTTGCACACTTTCTTCAGTATGTGCTTTCACATGACTGACAACTTAATAAACCTGTGGCTGGTTTCTCAAACTGAAAAACAATTAAAAATGAAGAATAATTGACACCAGTGTTTAAAGTTAGAGTGCCAAATCTCTAACAATCACATAAATCTTTGTTTTATTTTTATGATCAAAAGATGTCAAAAATCCAGCTATTGCATTTGGTTGAAATAATTTTTAATTTGCCTAGATTTACTTTTCTTCTGTCTTTTTCTTGATTTGGGGATCATTTTGCAATAATATAAACCTTTTTAACACTTAAAGTCCACGTTAACATCAATTTTCTCAATACAATATTTCAGAGTCCTCAAGTCATCATTTAGAATCACTGTTTTCTTTTAAACCCTTTGATGTTATGAAAGCAATCTGACTGTAGAATGGAGATTTCCACTTGCTCTCATTTAAACCCTTAGTTATGGAAACATTAAAACTTAAGTACAGGAAAATAATATATATTTATGTGTCCTTTAGTCATTGTTAAAAAACCATCAGAACACTAACAATTGTGTTTCTTCTAACATGACTCGAGTATTCTATACGAAATCCAAGATTTTTCTCCATCTGTGCACACTTCCCTCAGTGCGTGCCTCAAATTTTTGGAACTACAAACATCTAGTTTCTCAAATTAAAAACTAAGTAGTAATGAATGTTAATTGACACCAGTGTTTAATTTATGATAAACATCTTTAAAGATCTCATAAATATTTCTCTGTTTTATTTTTATTTCAAAAAGATGTCAGTAAGTCAAGCTATTGTACTTGATTGAAATAATTCTTAATTTGCCTAGATTTACATTCCTTCTGTCTTTTTCATTTCTTGGAACTCACTTTATGAGGAATATAAACTTGAAATAATATAGAACTTCTTTTCCCTTAAAGTCCATGTTCAAATCCATTCCTTCCACGCACTGTTTCAGTGTCCTCAAGTCATCATGTAGAGTCACTGCTTTCCTCTAAAACTTTTATTTTATGGAAAGCCCTGGAGATGTAGGCCAGCTGATGGAGAGCTTTCCCAGCCTTATGAGGCCTTGGTTTCAATTCCAGCACCTCATCAGATGTAGATGCATGTGTATCCCTGTAATTTAGTTACTCAGGGATTTGAGGTAAGAGGGTCAGCACTTTCAGGTCATCCTAGGTACGTCGTGAGTTACAGGCTATGCTTTGCTACTTGAGTCCATGTCTTAAAAGAATAAATATCACATCCAGAAATATGGCTCAGCAGGTAAATACACTTGTTACCAGGCCTAAGGACCTGTGTTACAAGGAAAGGAGTCGCTTCTTTGTCCCAGCCACCTGGCTAGCTTAGCCCTGAAATAACCACACAGAAATTGTATTACTTAAATCACCGCTTGGCCCATTAGCTCAAGCCTCTTATTAGCTAACTCTCAACATCTTGATTTAACCCATTTTTATTAATCTATATATCGCCATGTGACAGTGGCTTACCAGCAAAGATTCAGTGTGTCTGACTCTGGTGGTGGCTCATTAGTGTCTCTTCCCTACTGTGCCGCTCTTCCTCCCAGCATTCAGTTATTTCTTCCTTGCCTACCTAAATTCTGCCCTACCAACTAGGCCAAGGCACTTTCTTTATTCATTAACCAATGAAAGCAAACACAAACAGAAGGACCTCCTACACCAGACCTGAATTGGATTATTGGGCATTTAAATTAATCAGATCAACTCAGATCTCATATTTATGCCATTTATTCTCCACAAACCTGCCTGCAAGACCTCCCATGGCAGCACAATGGACCTCACCATCAGTTAAGGAGACAGCAAATCCCCACTGTCTCCCTGGAGCTTCCCTTGTCTGTCTCACCGCTATCAAATCAGTTCTCAGACTTAATTTCTATTTTCAAATCCAATCACAACTGATCATTCCTCCTACATTATCTGCTTCATGACCTCCTCAATTTCAGCTTTGATTATGTCATCCACATTACTATATTTCCTGTTACTGTAACAACATGGATGATCAAACAACCAGAGTTTTCCTATTGGCACTGAAATCATGTCATGTTGAGTCAATTCTAAAAGGGACTACAAGCATTCCCATTTCCTTTTCCCTTAGGGAAAGTTCATTAAGGTGTACAGCAAACATGCTACATACAACATACCTTTGAAATTTATTGTTACCCTTCTGCGGCCATTACTGTCTAAATCTCAGCCACCATGTTATCTCTGACTGTCTTCTACTCTCAGGACTTTGCACTTAGTGACTGCTACCTTGCCATGTTGCTCTTCACCAGTTATTAACTGGATTACCTTTCTATAGGTTCTGCTTCAATTAGGCAGAATTGTGATTTGTATTCACATTGGGATGTAAACATGCACCTACCTCTATCCTCTGCCATCCTTTCCTTATGCTTCTGCCTCTCCACAGCACTTGCTACATGCGATGTGATGTCTAGGTTTATTTGCTGTTACTCTCTCACAGTACAATGAACCTCGGGCAGCAGAATGTGCTTTTATTCCCCTCCTCACTTCTTTGTCACCAACACACAGGTGTATGGTTAATCATCAGGAAATGAATGAGGAATATGAGGAAAACATTTTTTGTTTCTTGTGGACATTTGTGTCTGCTGGGTAGTTCTAAGTAGCCAGTAGGATATTCAAGTATTTAGTACATTCATAAACAGTGAGGGCTAAGAGTCGGGGGAGACCACAAAAATGCTCTAATACAAAACAGAGATGTCCTTAGACTCATACTGTGCCTTGGTCCTGCACAAGCACTTACAAACTTGCACCAGCAATCCCTGTCTAATCTTAAGGACTAATTGGGGCTGCTGTTCAAGAAACCAGAGCTGTAAAACTTTGTTCAAACTGACTGCAAACACAATCCAGAAAAGGGTGGGTAAAGAGAATGTCCTCAAAGGGAAACCAGAGACGCTAAGCATAGTTAATCAAACACAAGGAACAAGATTGCTATGACACCACAAGCATTACAAAAGGAAACCTGCCTAAATGACAGCTGTCGCCTCACCCTGACACAGCTACAGCAGGAACAGCATGTGGAGAGACCTCTTCTCTGGAGGCCAGAGGCCTTGGGAGGTAAGCAATTAAATAGTTGACCCTTAATTAGGAAGCAAGATGAGATGGAGATACAACAACCTCAAGCACATTGCAGAGACAGTCCATCACTTGAAACATCCAATTCTAGCCATGTTAGAGAGAAGAATAAGGAACATGAAAACCTATGTCCAGATCATTTCCTTTAGGTCCACCTCAACTTGGAGTATAGAACCTATACTTCTGTATGTTTCAGTCTCTAAGACCATCCATTGTGCAGTCCTGTCCATCTTCCACCAAAGCACCCCAGCTGTCAATCAGAGGATCCTCGCTCTCAAAATATGTTCCTAAATGTCTTGTTCCCTATCAGCTCTTTCGAGAAGAGAGATGGTGAGGGTTAGAAGTTAGATCTGAATGCTTCTATCCCCTTACCAGAAAATCCTGAGTCCAGTGTATGTGCTCACTCTAGCTCAGCTGCGGGAACCGCTGTCCAGTGTGCTCCTGGTTCTTTATATAAAACCCACCCCGCCTTCCTATGCAGGACTTATATCAACTTCTAGTTTCTGTCCTCCCTCTCGGAGTGATTTGGGGAATCATGAAGGCGCATGGATCTAGTTGCTTTTCAGAATCACTTGCATTTGCAGGAAGAGGAAAGTGCAGGAAGTATCTTCAGCAGCTGTCCTCACTCTATCAGCATTCACTTCTTGGCAGCAAAAGCCTGACAGTTCTAAAATAACAACGTGGAGCAGTGCTTGGAAAGAGAGAGTGTAAACAGAGAAGCAGCTTACTAGTTAGGCTGGACAGCTACCCTTGAAAGACAGGATTAATGATCCCTGACTCCACAAATGCAACCTGAACTAAAGTCACACAGCACATTGTCTGAGGTCCTGTGCAGATGCCGATTTTAGTCTCACCCAAGCTACAACCCACTTGTCCCTCTCTGACTATAACCTTACTTCTTCATAAGTTTAGATTCACATTCCATAATTCTTGTCATAGTCAACTCCCCTCTCAATAATGGGATTAAGGCTGGCTTGGGCTTGACAGGTCTCACACATGCTGTCACAACCATGGCCATTTTGTTTATGGGGCTTCCCTGTAGTGCCCAAAGGATATTGTTTTCTTGAAGTCATCCACCAGTTGTGGCTCTTACAGTATTTTCACTCTTTCATCGACAATCATTCCTGTGCCATTTGAAGTAGAAATAAGTGTATTCTATTTATGTCTGAACATTTACCAATATCTT